TATATATATATATACCTATGGGTTCCGGGCTCGATATTTTGAGGCCCGGGAAATACTACACATCACTACGATACAAGGCTCTAAATTTTACTACGCTAAAAGGGTCTACGTTTTACTGTGGGATTATACTGGGATGTTGTTGTTGTTGTTGTTGTTGTTGTTGTTGTAAAAGGGTCTACATTTTACTACGCTAAAAAGGTCTAGATTTTACTACGCTAAAAAATAATCTAAACTAAACATAAACAACAAATAAATTTAATTACAAATAAAACACAAAAATGCATGAAAACACATATATATAAATCAGGATATTAACACACAAATTTATATTTTTTTTTATAAAACACTAATATTAAATCCGGATAAATTTAACATGCTAGTTTCGAAAAAAAAACACAAACCGAAATAGAACACATACAAATCAAATAATATGCATTATTATCAAAGTTTCAACTTAAAATAAACTGAAATACCTCGATTTAGAATTTTCGGAAAGCAAATAGAATGAAATTTTGACTCCGGAAGTGTGAATCAACAATAATATGAAGCTCTACTCGAATGTGGGACCTACGTTCTTCAACTATTATGTAACGGGGGGACCCAAAAAAAAAATTAAAAAAATTGGGGGCAGCGGGTATGGGGGACCAAGGGAGTAAAAAATTGAGGAAGAGGAGAACCAGAGGAGATGAAGAAGACGGTTCGAATTATAAAACTTATGTATAGCGTGAGGTATTGTGGCGCTATACATGGGCGTGTCACCTTTTTCAGTATAACGCCACAATACTTGGCGCTATACAGTAACGATACAGTTAACGTTACTGTATAGCGCCAAGTATTGTGGCGCTATACATAAAAATATCACCTTTTTTTTCTCACCTATTTATGTATTTTGAGTCCAAAAAAACCACAATTGGGTTCCGTACTCCTTATTATTATGGATTAGAAAAGCAGGCGAGCCGCCAGTTTAATGGACCAGTGACGCCATTTTTAGAGTCCACCTAACCCTACTCTCTCTAACCCTATATTTATTTCATTTTCTCCTCTCTTTTTTGAGAATGTGTCAAGTAGTAGGACATAAGAGTATTTAATCACAAGAACTCATGTTTCAATAAATCAATATAGGTAGCCAAATATTTCAAAATCTTGTTTAAATAGCATTGTTAGGTACATTTTTCTAAAACCAAATAAACACCCTAGCAATGCTAGCATAACCAAACACTAGTGTAGACATTGGGAGGCACTAAATGCTTTTGGTCCATCGGCTGGCAATAGTGTTGAAGCTGTATATGCAGTATATTTCTTTCTTTGTCTGATTAAAACTGTATTTATTGTGCAGGAACAAACATGTAATATGTCCGGTCCCCCTCAACTTCTCACTTAACTGCTTAAGCTACTAAAAGTTTGAAATTGTTGAATTTTAGTGATTATAAACTCCATTTTTGTTTTTCATGTGAAGTTTTTAAATTTTTAGAAAAAATAATAGATTCTTCTTTTCTCGGCGTTTCACTTGTAGCAACTAGCAAAAGACATCAAGTATTGAACCTTATTCAATGATCCATATCATACTGAATTTAATACAGGAACAAATCATGCAGTTCTAAGACAAGAAAAGCCACTGCTATGATGTGAAATTTTGATGCAGATACTGTAGAAGTTAGCAAGGTCAATTGATTTACAATTCCAACGTCATACATGACTCCATCATTGCCACGCTAAAATCCCTACTTATATTTACTCTATATTTGCAACTAAGATTTAAATGCTGGTCAACCCAAAAGAAAATAAAGGTGACAAAGAATGATATAGAATATTAACATAAACAAAAAGGAAATAAGAAGGCTCAAACATAAGTTAAGATTAAAGATGATACAATGACAACATATGCTATAAAGAAAAAAATTGCTATCTGAAGGAAGAATTTTGGATTGTCCCTCATGTTTGGAGATGTTACCGCCCTGCAACAGAGAAACAAAACAACTGATCAATTTTCTCCAAAGCTAGAGTTTAACTGACGGGAAGACTGTCCAATAATTCAACTAGTTCCACTTGCTGGTGCTGCTCGGAGATTTACCTAGCAATGCATTGAGAAAGCCTATGAAAAGGCATGCTTTGGATGAAGACAATACCTGGCCCCGTTAGAACAGCCGTTATCATATTATCATTCTGTAATTGCATAAACATGGTCAGAACAACATGCCTCGGAAACCAAATTATAGAGATGACAAAGGACTCAAGTTGGATTACTTGCTTAAAAGAAGAACTCAAAGCCAGAGGATCGTAGATAATAAATCACATTTCCTATTGGATAATGTTTCAATCATTAGTAGAGTGCCAAAGTAATTATGCTATTAGCAGCAATGTAGACACTATATACATTGGTTATTGAATGCAACTTGGATCTGAGACATTCTAATGGAAGAAAGCACCAGAAACCTGCAGTATAACTGAAGTTCCAAAAGATCATGACCAGTATATCTGACTTTCAGTTTTTTCTTTAGAAAACTGTTCCCTTATGTTGGATCAGTCGCACTTTGCTTATGTCGCTACTATCATTCCACGAAATCAGTACATGTATCACAAAAAGGGAATATCAAAGAAAAGCAAGGATGGCATATACAAGTTTCATGATAACATATATTACAAACTAACTCCACCACCAAACAAACATTTCCAGAAGCACCTCAATTTCATTCACCTCTCTTAATTTCCCAAGTTTGACTGCAAGTTTCTAATGATAATTCACATAAATACCCCTGGAACATCTTGCATGTAAGCACCAGGTAGGGAGCAGTGAGGGAGAGATCAGTCATGTGTAAGAGAAGGATCAGGCTAAAGTATATACCTTGTTAACTTCATGCGTTCCTGTTGTTAGCTGTTAATCTTAATTTCCGTCCTAAGCTACTTTTAAATTTTTAACATGAGGAATTTTCGCCAGGAGGGCAAACATGAGAGAGAATCTAAAATATACTGCAAAGGAACAATATATATATATATATATATATATTAAGAATAGTGAAAAAGGCAGAAGCCAAAAGAAGCTGACAAGTCAAATACCCCAAATACCGCCCTTCTCATCTGTCCATTGTATTTGGCTTGAAAATTGATAGTTCCTGATAATGCAACTATGCTTGCCACATCTACAACAAGTACCTCTCCCACTTCAAGATTTTTCTGTACAACTGAATGATGAAAAACATTGGGCAGGAATAAAGGGATCAGATGATAAAACTTGTGATGTTCAATACACTTAAGATTCCTTAATATCATAAAACAGAAAAAATTTAATGGGCCAAGTATTTCGTATTTGGCAACAAATACGTTAGAAATCTTAACCATCCAATTCTCATGAGAAACACCAATAGCATCCCAATGAACACATAATGCTTTGTATTCACTGAGAAGGATCATCTTTCTGACTATAACCAACATCTAAGTACACTGTAGATCTTCACATTAAGATTAAGAATATATTACAATAATCGGTGTCCAAAATTAAAATAACGTTTGTCGGAAATCAGAAAAACATGACGATAGCATCTCATTGCCTGTATCTAAGATAGTTTTAAAGTTTCTAGGACGACCCACATTTTCTCTCTTTTGCCGGTTTAAACATACAACATGAATCAAACACTTAAATTATAGCCATGCCTAAAAAGTGAAAAAGGTTTTTTCACAGTAACTGAGATTCAGCTTCATACCAGAACCGCCTCCGACTATAAAAGCAAGCCCTTGTCCAGATATCTTATGCCTCAAAGATCCCTGGAAATATTACTAGCATATCAAACAAAGGTTTGATCTGTCTGTGATAAAATTACAAAGGCAGATAATCATGCAACACATAACCACAAAATAATTCTGTCATCTCACCTCTGCACTGGCAATCATGTTACGTGCCCTTTGGTCAAAGCTATTACTGACTTTGACATCATTGATAGAGCATAGAAATGCATCTGGCTACAAAATATATCAATAAAAGAGATGATCCAGTTAGAAAACTTAAATAAACCACAAAGAAAACAGGGATGATTGTAAGAAGAAGCTAGAATAATATCCTTAGCACAAGGATGGAACAAAAGAGAGAATGAGAAATCTTTACCTGGCATAAGATTTCACCGCCAAACATTGCTAGATCAATCTGTACAGTGTCGGTGCATCAGATAAAAAAAGAAAAAAACAATTGATCTAGTAATACTAGAAATTAAATTAGATCTATAAGGAAATAAGAATTATAAGACCCTACATTACATGGAATGATGGAATCAGATACAAGTATTAGGTACAGGTGCAAATACAACACGCCATGAAGGACCATATGATGTACCATGTCCGTGTCATACCCGTTCAAGATAGGTACGCAAAGGCAAAAAAATTGTCCATCTAACATAATATAACCAACCAAAGTACCAAACAAGGAACGTAGTTGAGATGAGAACAAACCGGTAGGATTCTTGCCAAAGAAGGCGCAGAAATTCCAACAAATCCATCAGTTGAACCTGTATTCTGGAGAACCACACTCGAAATACTCTTTCCAAAAAGCCACTGCCAGACACCTGTATCATTTTCAGTGGCGAAGACATTTTCCAAGTGAGTCGAAGAAGACGTGTAGCACATGGACCCTGCAAAGTATTGTCACTTAAGAGTGTAATAAAAATGATGAATTCTTTTTGTAATTTTATGATAATTGGATTAAGACATAAAAGCTGGATTCTATCTCTTCCTTCTGTGAAGTGTATCTATTTGTTGGTTGATTGGCTTGTTGTGCTTCTCTAACCACGCTGTGGAGTTGAANTACTCGTGACGATGTCGGGCAAGTAAAATGAAATATCTGTTAGTGTAAACAAGATACTATCCATATAAACAGTGGCAACTGACTATATATAATTGAGAAAATGAACCTCCCTTCTTTGACAGCAAAGACCCTGTCCCCTCCCCCCCAATCCCCAACAACAAAAACCTTTGAGGAGAGGATAGAAATGCAAAAAAAAAAAAAAAAAAAAAAAAAATTATTTGCTTTTCTTTGACACACGTCAGAGCTACTGATTTTACTTCTAAGTAGTGTAAAAAAGATATTTACAGGAATCAAATAAGAGCACGTTATTCCTTCAAGGATGTCAAATGAGATTCAGAAAACTGCAAGCATTGAGAACAATTCATTGATGCAACCAAATCTTAGAGTGGTTGTTTGTCAATAGAAAAGAATAATATATTGAGATGACACAAGTACGACAACTAATGGTAGTGTTGATTGAAGTCTGAGATCAGTCTAAGACTAAGGCCGAGCAACTAGCTGCTGCAGGATTGGACGTCTATCTATCTCACCACGCTCCCCCTGTTCATCTTTCTTACAGCTCGTTACTGCAATGTTCATTCAGCCCTTTGGCTTCTTCCGTTAAAAGAAAAAGGTAGCGTTTCTTTGGTAAATAGCGTCTTGAATTGAAGCGAAGGCATTATTGAAGGAAAGAAATGGTAGGTCCCTCAATTGCATTAGGTAGGAGATGCAGGAGTTGTCTTAACCGCACACGAATTCGCTATTCGATTCCATTCTAAATCCCACCAAATTAGAATAGTGATAAACCAACTATAAGCTTTAATACATAGATCTACATTATTTTTCCTTATTTTTTAGGTGGGGAGCATTTCGATGCTTCGGCTGCTCAACCTTCTACAAGGAAAACCAATACCTACTGGGACATCACCATTTGATCATTATTGTTTATCATGATTTCATTGCTTGTCTTTCTTGCATATCATGTGGCCGACAGGTAAGAAAACCTCCTATTTTCATAAGGCAATGTGCTTCTATCCCCAAAAAGTAATAAGCTAGTATGCTGCGAGAACAACTTCTAATGCGTTCAACATATTCTAATTCATCCTTGAGGAAATATCCAGTCAATTAGATTTTCAAGTTTGTAGATTTTATAAAAGCCTGTCAGAACTGGCTCATTCTCCAATATCTGAATCAAACACCATGGACAACGAAGAGATTTTAATGTGTTAGGCATGCCATTAACTAATGGTAACAACTGAAACTTCTTATGAGCAAATGCTTCCCTAAATGGTTGTTATACCATGCAGGAGATGTCTTCTACAAATAACACAATGAGCAAATTACCATGCTTAGCAATAATCTTTTCTTGCGGCTTCAACATAATCTGAAACATAGATGAAGAAAAGGTGTACAACAATAAAGAAATCAATCATATAAACTTGTCATTTACAGCGAAACCAAAATAGGTAAATGAGTACCTGAACAATCTGGGCTTCATTACCCGGAATCTGGAAAGGTGTCACAGCATCTTGTGGACTCTACAGAGCATAGATATGAGACAAATGTCATGATACTAGCCATATACAGACAAAGAATGGTAGTCAAATGTTAAATTGTTAGGATTTATCCAACAGCAGTCAACATTATCATTTTTCTTTTTGTTTTTCTATTTCCTACCAATCCCCTCTGTAGCAGATGCACCTACATGTTAGATGCACTTAAATGTTTTTTTAATATATAGTTCATAACTTGAATTTAATTACATGGGCAAGATTACAGAGGCGGGCCTACCTTGGGTAGGGGGTCACCGGAACCCGTTATCCTCGGAAAAATATTGTAAATATATTTTATATATATTGGTATATACACTGAAGACCCTTTAAATAATTTTCCTGGCCCCCTCAACAACAAATGCAGGACAGAAGAAGTGGTTTTTGTAGCCTGCTTGAGTGCTTCAGTTGATTGATGCACCCTGGTTCGAAACGCAGCTCCTGCACTTCTATTTTATTTTCTTTTAGTTTTGTTTTTAAATCTCCTTTGGCCTTAGTTGTCTACTGATTTTTTATTTTATTTATTTTGAATTCTCAATACTCTTACACAATAGTCAACCTAAAGTTTTAACCTTTTTCAAAGTCAAAAACAAAAGTAACCCTTCTGCCTCTCACCTCTCTTTTTCAAACAAAGGTAAAACCCTCCCATCATCCCTTCTTCTCAAAAACAAAAATACTTTTTCAAGCGATTGTTTTAATCTTATTCTGCGTTTGCTCGAGCTCGACTTTGACATCCCAATCGTCGACGACTACTGACTTTGAGACTCTTCTTCAACCGAAACAATAAGTTTATTTGAGTAAATTTTAATTTTATTTGAGTAATTTTGAAGAATTAACCCAAATAGCTGCTCACCTAACCTTTTAAACTAGAAATAGCTGGTAGACGTATTATATATGATAAATTATGTATTATATGTGTATAATTTATATATATGGCTAAAAAGGTAAATAATAAATATGACCGACTATTTGGGTAAATATCCTCAAGGCAATGGTGCCCCGTCATGCTCAAATCCTGGGTCCGCGCAAAAACATGCTAAACTAGCACCTTTACATCTGTTGGAATCGAAAGTTCTCGAAGGGTTTGAGAGTTTGAGGCAGAAAGTTTTGATTTGAGTGGTGTTTGGTATGTTGGACGGATTTGAGGATTTTGGACGGGTTGAGGGGCATTGGGCCTAATTGGCATTTGGACAGTTTAATATTTTTGGGCCTAATTGTGGTCTACACAATTAGGCCTGCTCAACCGGCCCACTTGTGCCACTGCCTTGTTCAGAATACACAATCTAGTGTACAGCACATGCTACACTATATTTTAGGTAGTTTTCCCATACTTATTTTATTTAATTATTTGTTCCATCTTTGTATTCCTTTAATGTACAACTTGGCCACTTGCCAATGCAGGAGGTTACCCTAAAGCTTTTCTTCTGTATATATGTTTAGCATTGTACATTTGAGAAGNGATGAACCTTGTATCCTCAGTTTTTGATGGCAAAGGATATGGAGGTTGGAGAAGGGCAGTTATCATTGCCTTGTCTGCAAAGAACAAGCTGGGATTCATCGATGGTACTCTTATCATCCCTAAGACAAATTCTGCTGTCCAGCAGACATGGGGTAGATGTAATAACATGGTACTTTCATGGCTTCTCAACTCTTTGTCCAAAGAGATAGTTGAAAATGTGCTCTATTCACAAAGTGCAAAAGATTTGTGGAGGGACCTGGAAGACAGATTTGGACAGGCAAATGGAGCAAAGTTATTCCAATTACAAAAGGAATTAAGTTCAGTAGTGCAAGGTAATTCAAGTGTATCAACTTACTTCACCAAAATCAAAAGCCTATGGGATGAACTAGATACACTCAATACATTTTATGTTTGTGTATGTGAGTGTGAGTGTGGTGCAAAAGTCAAAAGCTTGAAAGCACACCAAGATGAAAGACTTTTGCAGTTCCTAATGGGACTAAATGATATTTTTATTGGGGTAAGGAGTAACATTCTATTGTCATCACTTTTACCCTCCATTGGACAGGCATACTCTCTTGTGATTCAAGACGAGAAGCAAAGGGAGATACATGCTACCCCTGCATACTCAGGGGAATCTGCCTCATTCATTGCTACCAACCAACAAGGAAGTTTCAGAAGATTTAATGAGAACAGGATGCAGAAAACAAGTTTTGAATCTAAGAAGTATTTGGGAATTTGTTCCTATTGCAAAAGACCTGGACATAGCATCCAGAAATGCTATAGAATTCATGGGTTTCCAGCTGATTTCAAGTTCACAAGGGAGAAGATTTTAAGGAAGTGCCCAGGCAAATAAAGCTTCCTTCTCAAATCAAGAAAATGAAGAGGGAAGTGCATCAGGAGTTCAGAATCTCACCAAAGAAAATGTGGCTGAGCTGCTGCAGCTTCTTCAGCAAGTGAGAGTGGGACATTCCAGTGCAGAAACCCCTGATGTTGCAGCAAATGTGAGCCATGCTGGTATGACAAATTTATGTGAAAAATTGGCCTGTTTAATTCAAATCAATGATGAGTCTTGGATATTGGATAGTGGAGCAATAGAACATATGTCTTTCAACAAAGATTTTTTTACAGAATTCAAAACTTTGGCTAAACCTCTCATGGTAAAACTCCCAAACTCTTACAGAGTTCAGGTCACTCATTCAGGAACCATTTCTCTTTTGCCTAATCTAATTCTTCGAAATGTTCTTTACGTTCCATCCTTCAAATATAATCTGTTGTCTGTGCACAAGTTGTGCAGACAACTCAAGCAATATGTTTTATTCACACCTTTTTCATGTTTTCTTCTACAGGGCCCTTCAGTGAAGAGCCCACTGGAAATTGGTAAAGAGGAAGGGGNCCAATCACACCTGCCTACATCATACTGGGGTGACTGCCTTCTTACAGCAACCTATTTGATCAACAGATTTCCTTCAAGTGTCTTAAAGCTTAAGACTCCTTATGAAGTCTTTTCTTCAAGCAAGCCAAATTACTCTAACCTTAGATGCTTTGGGTGTTTGTGTTTTGCTTCTACTGTCTCAAATCAAAGAACTAAGTTTGAACCTAGAGCTATACCTTGTGTGTTCTTAGGTTATCCTCATGGAAAGAAGGGTTACAAGGTGTTGAACCTTAAGAATTTGAAGCCTTTCGTTTCTAGAGATGTTATATTTCATGAAGAATTCTTTCCTTTTGCTTCTGTTAAGTCTAATTCT